ATATACACACACACACACACACAAAGAAAAACAAGTAGATAGAATAGAAAAAATAGAAAGCTAGTGTTTGTTTGTTTGTTTTTTGTTGTTGTTTTTTTAAATAAAAATAAAAAATAAATAAAAAAAGAAGATAAATATAGATAAAGTAGAATTAAAATAGACAGCCTAATACTCGAATACCCTAATGTAAATGTAAATACCAAGACATTTAGTAGTTTTCTGAATTAGCACTCTCTCCACTTTGAGAGAGGTGTGACAAATAGACATAGAGTTGATTGATGTGTTAATTTGTCTCTCTCTCTCTCTCTCTTTTTTTTTTTAGATGAAATCAAGCATGAACTGGAAAAGCAGAAGTAAGTTTTCATACCAACATGCACCAACCATGCAAAAGTCTCCTGTGATCTACATTGATGTAACATTAAGAGAATGCTTATTGTGTTTTTATGAAAAGGCTAAATCATCTTCATTCTGAACCATCATGGTTATGTATTTAGGTTACTGGTCTCATTGATGTCCATGCTGAACAAAAGGCCCCCAGTAATGTTAAAGGGCTACTGACATGAAGATGTTAAAAAAGAAATGTTTGTTCTTGTTTAATATGGTGTAACATTCAGTGAATGAAGTATGTTTCAGTGCTGCATGGTTATTCCCACTGACTGACCTGTGCTGTGAATCTTGTATGTGCCAGGGATGGCACTGTTGTTCCTCCCAGAGCTAACTACATTGAGGCTGACAAGTACGTCCTGCCTTTCGAGCTGGCATGTCAGTCCAAGTCTCCTCGTATTGTCAGTACGTCTCTCGACTGCTTACAGGTACGCAGAGTTCTCATTCTCCTCACTCTACTGCAGTGTTTCATCTTACTCAACATTAAAGGTGCCATAGAATGCATTGATACAATATTTTAAATTGTTCTCTGATATCTATGTACTGTAATGTAACAGGCTACCGCTAGCAAGCAGCTAACATGTCCCTTTAGTGGCTCGTGTTATTTTATTAGAACGCGCGTTATTTGTTTTCCGTGCCTTTCTGAATACAGACACCAACCCATCCCTGCACATCCCTTCAACAGCCTGTAACATAACATTTATTTCCATGATCTGCCATTTTCGCTATTATCCTCGCTTGTTTCTTCACAATACCTGCAGAACTTCTGATGATTCGGCTGTGCAGGTTCGGCTGGCGGCTGGCCTAGAACATGGGCGGGTATATGCAAATGTTGGGGGCGTAACTATTAGTGATCCCGACTGTAACGTCACAGTCGGTGTTATGTTCTGGTTTGCCTATTTTTCAGTGGTCTTCTGCATGCACAAGGTTTACATAAGAAGGAGGAAACAATGGTGTTTGAGGCTCACGGTATGTCATTTCCATGTACAGAACTGTTATTATTCAACTATGCCAAGGTAAATACAGTTTTCCATTCTATGGCACCTTTAATACATTTAAAACACTTGTTTTAAAACTTGTTAATTTTTTTAATCCTTGTAAATAGGAGTTTTTTGCACGTGTGACTAATTTATTTGTTTGTAGTCTGCAAGGAAAACTGTTTGTGAAATCACTAAGATCATGAAGCTTATACAAACCTGATAGTTATGAATATTGAATGAATTCAAACACACTGTATTAATGAACGTGTATTACACTGAAATACCTCCATTGCGTATGTTGTCTCACGCTACTCTCAGTTGTTGCAGAAGGACGTCTCTGGCAAACGTCCCATCATTACTACTGCAAATAATGTAGATGGTTCAGATAGTACACTGTCTGAACAAATGGATCTATTTTAGTTTCAGACATTGATCCCGGATGCTGGATTTCATTACTTGAAAAATTACAGTCGGTCTAGTTCATTCCCGTTATGTAAATTGCAGTTCACTAGTTTTAATATTTAAATTAATTTAATCATTCCGCTCATACATTTTCTCACTGACCTTTCTTTTTTTCATCACAGAAACTCATTGCATATGGGCACATCACAGGGAACGCCCCTGACAGCGGAGCTCCAGGAAAACGGCTGATTGACCGGCTGGTGGAGACCATCTGTAACTGCTTTCAGGGACCCCAGACTGATGAGGGGGTACAGCTACAGATCATTAAGGTAAACAACTCTCCATCATACCAGTTACTGTTAAACAATATATATTATACAATATACACAATGTTATATTATAAAGACATTTATAATGATACAAAAATTTATATTTTAAATAAATGCTGTTTTTATGTTCATCAAAGAATCCACAAAAATATTGTTAAGCAGCACAACGGTTTTCAACATTAATAATAATAAATGTTTCTTGAGCACCAGGGGCCCGTTCTTCGTGCGTCGCTTATTACATCCCAGATGATATCATCGCGCTAATCAGGATCTGGCTAATTCGGACCTGTTGCTATGACAGCAACTCCGGGATGAGCTTCGAAGAACTAAACAATCCAAGATCATGCCAAATCGTCAACAATCAAATCCAGCTAACGGAGTTAGCGACGTACAAAGAACGGGCCCCAGATCAGCATATTAGAATGATTTCTAAAGGATCATGTGACACTAAAGACTGGAGTAATTCAGCTTTGCCATTACAAGAATTAATTATAGAATAAAATATATTAAAATCTAAATCTCTTAATTAAATTGTAATAATATTTCACAATATTACTGTTTTTACTGTATCTTTGATCAAATAAATGCAGCCTTGGTGAGCATCACAGACTTCTTTCAAAATTATTACAATATATTATAGACATTAAATGAATAATTATTAAAAAAAAAAAAACATTCACTAAATTTACTTAAAGAAAATTTAAATTGGTTTTAATTATTTTAATCAAATTTTTTGGGGGAAGAAAAGTTGCAATATAGTGTGAATTCATAGTTTCATCATTCATAATACATCTCTTTTTGACCTTGCAGTAAGTTCACCTGGTCACTGCATTGGAGCTCATGCCAAAGTAATCAAAGCTGCTTCTGTATAGAGCACCAATCGTCAACACACTGAGGAAATTTAGTTAACTAAACGATCATATAAGTTAAGAACACCATGATTATTTTACACCATTTGATAAGCTGAGCATTAAAGTACAAAGTATTTTCTTTGATCCAAGCCTAACACTTATCATTTTAGATGAGCATGATGTGTGAAAGATTTACTAGTACTCGGTTGTCTATAAATGGAGAGAAAACGCAGCAGTACGTAGAGAGTAGTGGTTTGCATAAGGGCAGTTTTACCACCAAGATGCGTACATAAGATCACATGATTATCTGAGAAAGTCACCCATTAAAGGTCTTGTTTTCATCAATGTCATTATTTACCTGCATAATTCTTCAAGCCATAAACTTATCATTGTATCTGAAACACTTTTGTCTCAGTGGGTTTTTAAAATGCGTTTTCTTACAATTATAATTTAAGTGAAAATGTCTTAGTAATCGGGTTGTCCCTTTGTAACTTTAATGGCAGCAGAACTCAAAATGCCTGAACTTAGTTTGTTGAACTTAGAACAAAAGTTTGTGTAAAACCAATGATTTGAGATGAATCCAAAGAGCATCTTGAGCTTCAAGGGAAGAAGAAAATCTGACTGTCTGCACAGTCACATGATCAGTGTCACAAATTTACTCATTTAATAAGCTGACCTAGAAATATTGTAGAATTATACAAAAATAGTGTAGAATATTTTATTTTTTCAAATCCTAAAAAAAGTTTAGTTTTTTTTGTGGTCTCAGATTTTTGGACCTCACTGTATTCGAATAAATTGGCATTATCTGTGATTTCATAATGCATTTTGTTGCTCTACAGGCTCTGCTGACTGCTGTGACATCACCACACATAGAGATCCACGAGGGAACGATTCTCCTCACTGTCCGCACCTGCTACAACATCTACCTGGCCAGCCGCAACCTGATCAACCAGACCACAGCCAAGGCCACTCTCACACAGATGCTCAATGTCATCTTCACCCGTATGGAGAACCAGGCGGTTAGTATAAAGCATCTCCAACTGCCTCTATTTGGATGTGATGTGTCACCCTAGTAGAACTTGGGGCGACATTATGGTTTAGAAAATTAGACTAAAACTGGGAAACTAGGTTTGACTTTCTTATGGCTCTCTTGTAGGCTCTGGAAGCTCAGGAAGCAGAGAAGGACAGACAACGTCTGCAGCTTCACAATCCTTCTCCAGTATCCAGTAACCCTTCTCCTGTAGCCCAAAATCCTTCCCCAACTCCTGGTCGGGGGTCCGGATCACCATGGCTCGGACAAGCCCGCTCCGAACAGAACGGACCCCCATCCCCCTCACTCAGCCCCCCTGGGGTCCCCTCCACTCCTTCCACCCCCCAAGACTCATCCTCCATCAATGGCCAGCCAGAAGAGTCCAAGTCAGAGGAGGAGTTTGCTACTGATAAACAGAGCTCAAAGGAAATTGAACAGCCAGGTACAGGGAATCACTGCTGTCGTGATATATGAGAAATGACTCCAAATTGTAAGGTTCTGGCAATTTCCAGTTGTTTTAGAAAGCTGTTTTGATGCACTTTATTTGGGTAGTAGATTCTGTTTTTAATTTGACTGTTCTTAAAGAAGAAGAGATTCAGGAGTCAGACCAGACGACTTCATCAGTGGCAGGAGGTGTTGAGGGAGAGGAGGTCCATCCACAGCCTGAGACAGAAGCAGGCACTGAGTTTCAGGAAGAGACTGAGCCGGACAGTGGATTGGGAGATAGCTCTATGGAAGGAGGTGCGTCACACTGGAAATAGTTGACTGTAGCTTTATGGGGACCTATGAAGTAGTAGTCACTCCTGCGTCTGTTTCTACAACAGGCTTAGATCAACATTCTGACTCCGAAACCAAAGTGCCGCCCCCTGTTGTTCGAGTCGACACACAGCAGATGAACGGAATGGTGGATGACCGTGGCTCAGAGTCCTCCATAGACATTCTGGTGTGTTTTTCATTTGTTTAATAAGACATACAGGACAGTTCAAAAGTGTGGGGTCAGTCTTTTTTTTTCTTCTAATACTCTTATTCAGCTAAGTAAAGTGATTAAATTGAGCAAAAGAGACAGTAAAGACATTAAATGCTGTTCTTTTAAACTTTCTATTGATCAAAAAATACTGAAAAAAGTATCACAGTTTTCAGAAAATTATTAAGCAGTACAACTGTTTTCAATGTTGTTATTAAAAATAACAACAAAAAGAAAAAGACTTCAAAAACATTAACAAATCTTACAGATCCCAAACTTTTAAACATAAGTGTGTAAAGACATTGTCCATAAAGCCTTTTTTTATTGTGGTCTAACTGTTATTTTGTTTGTTTACTGAACAGGATGCAGAAACCATTCAGGGCAGTCAGACAGCTGCCCGCTTTTCGCACATCCTACAGAAAGACGCCTTCCTTGTATTCCGCTCCCTCTGCAAGCTTTCCATGAAGCCCCTTGCTGATGGACCACCCGACCCAAAGTAAGAACCTGGAGAGGACATTTATTTACAGTAGATGAAATATGTGACCCTGGACCACAAAACCAGTCATAAGGGTCAATTTTTCAAAATTGAGATTTGTACATCTTAATGTACATGAAAGCTGAATAAATAATCTTTCCATTGATGTATGGTTTGTTAGGATAGGACAATGTTTGGTCGAGATACAACTATTTGAAAATCTGGAATCTGAGGGTGCAAAAAAATCAAAATATTGAGAAAATCGCCTTTAAAGTTGATTTAAGTAATTTTACTTAATATCCTAATGATTTTTGGCATAAAAGAAAAATCAATAATTTTGACCCATACAATGTATTTTTGGCTATTGCTACAAATATACCCCAGCGAATTAAGACTGGTTTTGTGGTCCAGGGTCACATATTAGATGATAAATCAGTCAAGTACGTATTTTTCAGCTTTTTTATGTGAAAAACCAGTAAATGACAAATCGTGTCTGTAGTGTGATCATAAAAACTGAGATGTTGCTGGTGGAGATCTGAGTGCTCTGTTTCCACAGTGTACACTCCTATAGAACAATTTTGAATTAATTTGCCATTATTTGGAAAAGTATTCAGTTTCATGCTGCTGTCATTTTTCCATCCCCTCTCTTTCAGGTCCCATGAGTTGCGCTCTAAGGTGGTTTCCCTGCAGCTGTTGCTGTCAGTGCTGCAGGGTGCTGGACCTGTGTTCCGAACCCATGAGATGTTTGTGAACGCCATCAAACAGTACCTGTGTGTGGCGCTCTCCAAAAACGGGGTCTCCTCTGTGCCTGAAGTATTTGAGCTGTCTCTTGCCATCTTCCTTACCCTGCTCTCCCACTTCAAAGTGCACCTTAAGATGCAGATTGAGGTAAAAAATATCAGATGTTCAGATATGCTGTCAGGCTGTTTGTACACACTTGAATAAATTTGTTTTGCATGGTCTTTAAAACCTTTGATCTAAAAATTTAGATGTGCTTAAATGTATGAAATTAGTTTTACAAACACAAATTGTTTCTACGTGTTAAAAAAAATAAATAAATGTTATTTCTTAATTTTCGTTTCCCCCTTTTTTTTTTTTTTTTTTTTTTTTTTTTTTTTTTTTTTTTTTTTTTTTTTTTTTTTTTTTTTTTTTTTTTTCCCCTTTTTTTTTTTTTTTTTTTTTTTTTTTTTTGTGTCTCTTTTCCTTTAGGTGTTCTTCAGGGAGATCTTTCTAACAATCCTGGAGACGACATCCAGCTCCTTTGAGCATAAGTGGATGGTCATTCAGACTCTAACGCGAATATGTGCGGGTTGGTGCACCTCAGTGTACACTTGCACACAACATGGACACATACACACAAATGTCTCACACATTATTGGTTCAAATGTCAAACCCATTTGTGAATCAGTCTGTTGCTCTTCTCACAGATGCACAATGTGTGGTGGACATTTATGTGAACTATGACTGTGATCTCAACGCTGCCAACATTTTTGAGCGGCTGGTAAATGACCTGTCTAAAATCGCCCAGGGAAGGAGTGGACAGGAGCTGGGCATGACTCCATTACAGGTGGCTATCGTAATGTTTGAACTACAACATTAGTATACTTGGCATGGCATTAATTTGAAATGTACATAATACAGCATATGCCATACAATTTAGATTTCATTTAAAGGATTCTTTGATCTGAAACAACTTAAGGTAAAAATATCAACACAAGTAATTAATCATTAAAAAAGACCAACAATATTAGCAGTGCCAGAAAACCATTTCAGAAATGAACCAGAAGAGTACAAACATCTCTTTTTAACTGGTTGCATGTTATTGATATCACAGTATGTCATATAATTTAGATTTTTTTTAAACCGATTATTTATTCCGAAATTAATTAAAATGTGGTAAAAATGTAAAAAATAAGTATTTTTTATTTTTCCTTTTTATTAAAATATAAAAAGATGAAGTGATTAATCATAAGGAGCCGACAATATTAGCAATGCCACAATACTACATTTTAAAAATAATTCTAGAACAGCACAAACCTCTCCAGTAAAAACTAGTGCATGATTCACTACAGTGAAAATCTTCTCAAACTGCACTGTTAGTGTGTAATAATTAATTCAGTGTTGATTTTTCGTGAACCTAGGAGATGGGGTAATTCTGACTTTGCTATGACAATCTGGCGCTTCTGATTCAGCTACTGTTTTGTTATTAGTTTAAGTATTTGCTATTGACTGTTCAAATGCGGTTTTGCGCATCGTGTGTGTGTGTGTGTGTGTGTGCGCGTGCGCGCGTGTGAGACCGAGAGAGAGAGAGACAGGGTCACTCACAGTGTGTGAGACCGAGAGAGAGAGAGACAGGGTCACTCACAGTGGAGTCAGCTGTCTTAACCGTGGCTTGTGTACTGCAAACAAATACCAGCTTCATCACTGTGTCTGTCACGCGACTCTGTTCCCCTTTCGGGCTCTGTCTTTACATTTACTTTGAAAGATGAAGCTCGCGATTATGGTAAGGGGTGTTACATTTCCGACGAGTGCTTGCGGTGTTCGGCCAATCACAATGCACTGAGTCAGCTGGCCAATCAGAGCAGACTGCGCTTGTCGAAAGGAGGGACTTTGTAGAAAACGAAGCGTTTGAGAGAGGCGGGGCATAGAGGACCTACAATAATGTACAGTATTTGAAAAATAATGTGTTTTTTGAACATTAAAGCATGTCAACATATTCTGTTACGCCAAATACACAAAATAATGATCTTTAAAAAAGCATCATATGACCCCTTTAATCATCTGCATCATCAGAATTTTCTAAGTCTAGACTGTGTTGCGTTGTAGGTCAGGAACGTCCAGCAGAGGGCGACAGTGCGGATGGGAAGCTCCAGGAGCATCTTTGCTCTCGCAGAGATAGTGTGAGCTCTATGGACTCCACTGTGTCCTCTGGAGTTCAGCAGTCTCAGCCAGATCACCCCGAGCAGTATGAGGTCATCAAGCAGCAGAAAGAGATCATCGAGCATGGCATTGAGCTGTAAGTTGTCTTTTTTTTTTAAGTTTCTTTGTTTTCTTTTCCGTATATTGCTTTGACCATTTCTGTGTTTCTTAAAGATTTAACAAGAAACCAAAAAGGGGGTTGCAATACCTGCAGGAGCAAGGCATGCTGGGCACCTCACCAGAGGACATTGCACAGTTCCTGCAACAGGAGGAGCGACTGGACACGGTAAGTTCATGCTTGTTTTCAGACATGGATAAATTAGTAAACCAAGACATTTTGTACTACTGTAGGCTCTGTTGTGTCATGTGATCAGACTCAAGTTGGTGAGTTCCTGGGAGAGAATGTGAAGTTTAATAAAGAGGTGATGTACTGCTACGTGGACCGGCTGGACTTTTGTGGCAAAGACTTTGTGTCAGCTCTCCGTGCCTTCCTGGAAGGCTTCAGGCTTCCGGGTGAAGCCCAGAAAATCGATAGGCTCATGGAGAAGTTTGCCGCCCGCTACCTGGAGTGCAATCAGGGGTGAGTTTTGCAGTCTGTTATATTTGTTAAGCCTGCTGGGGTTTGTGTTTGTGCTGACCTGCCTGTTGTTCTGTAGGCAGACTCTGTTTGCCAGCGCAGACACGGCTTACGTTCTGGCCTACTCCATCATCATGTTAACCACCGACCTGCACAGTCCACAGGTAAGACTACTTATTGTTTACTCACTGTCTCCCTTCTCTCCCTTTGCTTTGCTTTGTACTTGCTAAGACACCTTGGCAACTAACCAGAACCTTGGGAACTGCAAAACCACACTCTTGCAACCATCCAGAACACCCTAGCAACTTTTTGCAACTGCTAAAAAAAAGCATGCTTGTTTTTCTTTCCGTAAAATGTAAAAATCTAGTTTTGTTTTCCCTTCTCTTCAGGTGAAGAACAAGATGACAAAGGAGCAGTACATAAAAATGAACCGTGGTATTAATGACAGTAAAGACCTGCCCAAGGAGTATCTCTCCTCCATCTACGATGAAATTGCAGGCAAGAAGATTGCCATGAAAGAGAGCAAAGAATACTCCATCACTCCCAAATCTAGTAAACAGAGTAAGAGCCTCTCAACAAAATACCTGTGTAATTTCCTTTGATGGAATTGAATAAAACCCTGTTGAATGCTGACACGAGCTATTTGTCCTCCTGTTAGATGTAGCCAATGAGAAGCAAAGAAGGCTGCTGTATAACATGGAGATGGAGCAGATGGCCAAAACGGCTAAAGCTCTGATGGAGGCTGTAAGTCACGCTCAGGCTCCCTTCTTCAGTGCCACTCACCTAGAGCACGTCCGGCCAATGTTCAAGGTAATGCCACATGTCCAATAAACCACGTCTTAACAGCTCCATGCTATTGAGTATTGGAACAGAAAGTCATTGTTAGGTCAAAAGGATCATGAGCAGGTCATGGAGGAGATGATATGATCTGATACTGTTCCAGGATGTGGTTTCACACATCAGTCTACAAAAAGGTCAAAAGGAAATTAAATTCTGAAAGTATGTTTTGTGTGTGTGTTCATTTCTCAGTATGTATGTTTATGTTTTGATCTATGTTTGTGTTTTGATCTATGTAAAACAGCTGGCCTGGACTCCTCTGTTGGCGGCATTCAGTGTAGGACTCCAGGATTGTGACGATCAGGATGTGGCATCTCTTTGTCTGGAGGGGATCCGATGTGCTATCAGGATCGCCTGCATCTTCAACATGCAGGTTTGTGTTTATACACTTTTCATATGGTAAATCATACTATTTAATTTAGTTCTTTCTAGTCTTTTTTTCTTTTCTATATCACTCTCTTTTCAGTTGGAGAGAGATGCCTACATCCAGGCCTTGGCCCGGTTTACGCTGCTTACCGCCAGCTCAAGTATCACAGAGATGAAGCAGAAGAACATTGACACCATAAAGACTCTCATCATGGTCGCCCACACCGATGGAAACTACTTGGGCAACTCCTGGCATGAGGTGGGCATCAGAGCATGTAAATGGAGTTGAGCATAATGTCAGCAATCTCTTCAAAGTGTGCTGTAATTACTCCAAATCCACTCCTGGTTTTCCAAAAATATTTTATCCAGCTAGACAGTATAATCTTTAGTGACAAATCAGCAGAATTTGCAACAGAAATGTAGAATACATAATAGAAAACTGGCCTTAAACACTTTCACACTCAACCCAGACCAGCAGGTTATCCAGGTCATTTTGTTGAGCCCTGCAAAGTCATGCAACTCCACTCCATGCAGGGGCATAAACCCCTGCACTCCTCAAACTATTGATCTGCTAAAGTTTGTTTCCAGCCTCAACATATCTGCCTGCTCTTTGTTTAGATTCTGAGGTGTATCAGTCAGCTGGAGTTGGCCCAGTTGATTGGGACAGGGGTGAAGACGCGTTATATCTCCGGTGTGGTCCGGGACCAGGGAGGCAGCATAAAGGGCTTCCCATCAGGGGGAGAGGAATTCATGCCCCTCGGCTTAGGTAAGCCATTGTACGACTGCAGTTAATAGCTCATGGATGGGGCCGAAGTGTTCAGCCTGTTTATTGTTTGTTTATTGGAGTGTGTGGACAATGTTCTTATGGAGCAAAACAATATTATTGGTCTCCTGCAGGTACTCTGGTTGGAGGTCCAGACAAGCGTCAGATGGCTCATATCCAGGAGTCAGTGGGGGAGACCAGCTCTCAGAGTGTTGTGGTGGCTGTGGACAGGTGCATTGAAATCACAGGACAATACAAACATACAAACATCGCTGTTTATGTTTCCTTGTCTGACCTTCCGTCTCTGTTTTGTGTGCCAGAATCTTCACTGGATCCACCAGGCTTGATGGAAATGCAATTGGTAGGGTTTTTGTTTTGTTTTAATGTAACAATTACAAAAAACAAATGTTTTAATTAGCATTGAATTTTTTAAGGGGGTAATATATTTTAAAGGGATGGTTCCCATTTTTTTTTTCTAGGCTTGATTGTGTTTATGGGGTGCAGTCTGACATGTTAATGCTTCGTTTAAAAAAAAAAAAACGTATTATTTTTCACATAATTTACCTTTATTCCACACCGCTCTGTCCCTTCTCTGAGAAACGTGCTGATCATTTCCTGCTTACATGAAGCCCCTCGCTCAGAAATAGGCAATGGGCTCTGATTGGTTAGCTAGCCCAGTGTGTTGTGATTGGCTAAACCGCATCTAGTGGGCGTCTAAATGTCCCGCCCCTCACCTTGGCGGCGGTTGTATTGTAAACAACAGCGTCGTTAATATCGTTAGAATCGTTAGAAGACAGAATCGCGATTCATATATGAATAGATTTTTATGTGCACCTCTAGTTTTCTCTTCCTCTTCTGTAAAGCAGCGCAGCATGGCCTCGCCCCCTTTGCTGCGTTTTCCTGAGGGCGGGGTTATCTGGGTTTGTTAAGTCACGAACCTGGGAAGTAGTTGGTTGTAGTCCCTACCAGCCAGTTTTGTAGGCATTAAACTGCCAGAATTTTAAAAGACGATATCTCCGTTTGCATTGAACTTTCAGCTTCGTAACTTTGCAGATATTGTTTATGCTCAAACAGCAACATTACACACTAACTAACGTTAATAAAATGTGAAATCGCAATCAACCACCCCTTTAAATATATACACTACCGTTCAAAAGTATGTGGTTGGTGAATTGTTTATTTACTTATTTTTATATTGTTGAAAGAAGTCTCTTATACTCACTAATGTAATATTATGAAATATTGTTACAATTTAAAGTAACTTTTCTATTAGTATAATTTGAAATGTAATTTATTCCTCTGATCTCAAAGCTGAATTTTCAGCATCATTACTCCAGTCTTCAGTGTCACATAATCCTTCAGAAGTCATTCTAATATGATGATTTGCTGCTCAAGAAACATTTATTATTATCTGTTTTGAAAACAGTTGTGCTGTAAACTGATTCATTTGTTTAGGATTTTTTGATGAAAAGCAAGTTCAAAAGAACAGCATTTATTTAAAAAAAATGTTTGATGTCTTTACTGTCACTTTTGATAAATTTCATGCATTCTTGCTGAATAAATATTGGTTTATTTTAAAGAATCTTACTGACACCAAACCTTTGAACGATAGTGTAACTATCAGATGATATAATTTATTTATTATTACAGCAGTATTTATCTAGCACAAAATCAACGAGGGTCTCAATTAGCTACAGGATGTGAGAGCACAAACTTGAACAAATAAATTGACATTTATTTAAAATGCTCTAATTTCATTCGAAAACATGGTGATCAGTGTTCCCCAATGCTGCAAATGAGAGCGAGAAAATGCTAGGGGTTTGATTTATAGAGCGGTTCAGTTTGTAGTTTATGTACAAAATAAGGTCTATATGTAATATATGAAAACGTTTTGTTCTACCACAGTAGTTACATAGTCAAACCCTGAATGTGAATTTTGAAGCAGTTGTGTTGCTAAATAAGGACTACTGCTACTACAAGGATGAAAGTTTACATGTTTCACAAATCAAACTGTTGGTAGTCCTTTTATATGCACTATACAATGTGAAATAAAAGTTTGCATCACGCTACAGCATTACTCATTGGGAAAAAATAGCTTGTTACTGGAAAGCAACACTATTTTGAAAACAATTGAGCTGCTGTCACGCTACTGAGAGGTGTAGCTAGGTTATTTGCGTCGCTACATGTAGTAAGTTAATAACCCAACACCGTTTGAGAGCATATGTGTGGGTTGATTATGTGGAAAAAGATACTTTTAATTCTACTCACGTAAACTTGAGTCAGTTTTGGTTGTATTTACTAAGAAATTAACAGGAGCAGCTGCATTCTTAACATATCTTTAGCTCCATGAGCAACGGAAAATCAGTTTTATGTTTTTAGTGTGTAAGTGGGCGTCCATGATATTATCCTTTTCACCATCGCTTGGGTTTTTTCTCATAGTCTATTCATTCATTTGGTCCATTATATCATAAGGAAGTGACTTACAAGTGATGGGGTTGTTCAGTCAGAATTGCTTCTGGATCTCTGTTAAACAGGGTTGCCAAGTTCACAGTTGTTGTTTTTTTTTGGGACTGAAATAGTTGTATTTATTTTACATTCAGCCAATAATAAAGCTGTGCTAGATTATGGGTTTTTGAAGGAGGGGCTCTGGTTTAGCTCTTTTATGAAAACAGACATGTTTGATGACTACTATAGGGATTTTTGAAGTAAAAGTTGTGTATAATGCATAAAACAGTGACTATAAATTTTGTATTTTAGGAAAATTGAGAATTGTCCAGTTTAATTTCATGTTGACCTTTAGGTAATTTTGTACATGCTATTGAATTCAGAAGTCACAAACTTCCCTAATCCGTATAATACATACACACATGGTGAAAGACAGTTGGCCTTTTTGGTTTTTAAAAATGATGTAAGAATTTGCAAATATATCACAGCTCAGACAATGATTGCAACAACATGAGCTATTAAAATAAAGACTTTTTCTATAATACATAATAATTGCTACATGTTTTGGTTGTAGGTGTATGAATAGCTGAAAATGTTTGGGTGGACACAGATTATTTAATTATTTTATCATGTATTCTAACCAGTAGGCAACTGCCACATGAAATGGCCCTCTGGACTGACTCATTCCAACCCACTTTGATTTACTTTCACACTTGCTGCACACAGATACTCTGTTCTAAACTAATGTGTTCTGCCAGTAGACAGTGGACGTAAATATTGTATTTGGGGGCAAAATGTCACTGAGATTTGTGTTAATTGTAAACTCTGCTCTATCTCCAGTGGACTTTGTGCGTTGGCTCTGTGCGGTGTCCATGGACGAGCTGGCCTCTGCTCACCAGCCGCGCATGTTCAGTCTGCAGAAGATAGTGGAGATCTCCTACTACAACATGAACCGCATCCGTTTGCAGTGGTCACGCATTTGGCAGGTCATTGGAGATCACTTCAACAAGGTCTGTAGCCTTACCTAAAGGTGCAGTCATATTTACTGCTGTTCTGTGAATATTTGTTGTGAATTTTGCATCAGGTTGTTCAGTTTGGCCACTCTGATTCGCTGTGTTTACCTTTTTTTGCATGCAAAATTTTGCTAATGTGACCGCACCTTCAAGGTGCCAGTTAAATGTTTTTTTCTAGATAAGATAATCAGTAAAACGGCTGTCTGATTGTGTTTTATTTCTGGTTTGGCAGGTGGGTTGTAATCCTAATGAGGATGTGGCCATCTTTGCTGTGGACTCCCTGAGACAACTTTCTATGAAGTTTCTGGAGAAAGGAGAACTGGCCAATTTCCGCTTCCAGAAGGACTTTTTAAGGCCATTTGAACATATCATGAAGAAGAACAGGTGAGGAAAGGAGAGTTAGAAATGTGAATGATTGAAAAGATAAAGAAATGAGGCAAATTGCTGCAGCATGATGAAACATGTAAACTTTAAACACTGGTGGAGTGTGTAATTTTCAGTAGGGATGCACAGAAATTTCTGCCACCGAAAATGGCATTTCGGTTTTCGGCCAAAAGAGGAAAAAAAGGCCGAAAATATGAGCTGTAAATAAACGGTGCGCCACACCGCCCAGCAGTGTTCAGCACGCAGGTTTCACTCTCCCTCTAGCTGTGTCGTGATGCTCCTCTCTATGAATGTGCGTTCTGTTGAGTTGCTCACAGTCCATGCAAACTCTCCACTCGTGTACCACTCATGCTCACCAGAACCTCAAAGTCCACTTAACGTGCCGACAGGAGATTTCTATGTAGTATACTTGCTCCTGTTTGCAATAGCACTACTGTGCTGTAACACGGCAACGCTGGTAAAATGACGCTACCATCTCGTTCACTGATCTGCTCCCAGCTATGCTCTGCACACATGACTCTGATAATAATAGCTTTGTAGGACTATACATTATTTGGATAATTAGTAAAAAAAAAAGTTGTATCTTGATTCTGAATAAAAATAATATATTGATATTTAATATTAATATACTTCCTGTCCAATTTTATTGTGTTACTTTCAATAAAAGTGTGGTTATTTTATTGGCTTGTGTTTTTTAAAAATTCAGTATCATTAAAATTGAGTTAAATTCAAATTCTTACAAAATTACTTTGTAATAATTATTTATTATTTTATTAAATAATACAAAGCAGTTTAGGGTTTTGGCCAGTTGCATCCAGAATTTTCGGTTTCGGGCCAGAATTTTCATTTCGGTGCATCCTTAATTTTCAAAGGTAAAATGTTTTGTTATCCCAGCTGATTATGCAGAAGCAACTGTAAGTAGGCCATTTGTAGGTTGTTTTCCCCAAAAAACGTTAGACTGGCTTAGGGCTGCATGATTTTTTTTCCCCCTCCTAAAAAAAAATTGAGATTGTGATTTTAAAATGCAATTTTAAAAAATTACGGGTTTGCTGTGATAGTTTGTGACAATTTGGTGAAAATGTTGTCATTATATATCAATACGGTTCTAAAATAATATTATTGCTAAAAAAAATAGAAAAATTACTAAATAAAAACTTTATATATATTATTGTAATATTTCACTGTAAAAAATTACTATTTAAAAAAATGTTACAACAATACATTTACATTAACTAATATTTAATTACCATTATTTAATATTTAATTAATTTTCAAACGTTTTTCAACGTTTGAAAAACGTTTTTCAAACTTTTGTTTTGATGGAAAAACCACATGCAGACCTTACACGGCACATATATTTCTTTAAATAAATTGCAACCTTTGCCTTTTAAATAAATTTATGATTTCAGTTTTATTTTGATTAATTATGCAGCCCTAACCCTGGCTCTGTGGTACCATCAAAACTCAGTTTGAGAGACACAATCAGTCTGACACAGCAACATTAGCTGATTCAATAGCAATTTTGGGGCAAAACTATCAGTTTGTCTGATGGGTGAAATATTCAAGGAAACCTATCTGAAGTCATATTTTTCCATTTTAAGCCATGCATTTCAGTTTCTTCTGCAGTAACTTCTTCATCCATTCTAAAGGTCGCCCACTATCCGGGACATGGTGATACGTTGTGTGGCCCAGATGGTGAACTCCCAGGCTGCTAATATTCGCTCTGGCTGGAAGAACATCTTCTCTGTGTTCCATCAAGCAGCATCAGATCATGATGAGAACATTGTGGACCTCGCGTTTCAAACCACAGGACACATTGTTAGTAAGTACCGGAAAATGTACATTATTTTATAAACTTCCATATTGAACATTTAAAAACAAAACATCATTCTCATGTCTATCCTTTCTGTTTCCTCACAGTGAATACATTTCAGCAGCACTTTGCCGCAGCCATCGACTCTTTCCAAGATGCAGTCAAATGTTTGTCAGAGTTTGTATGTAATGCTGCATTTCCTGACACCAGTATGGAAGCCATACGGCTCATCCGCCACTGTGCGAAATATGTGTCTGACAGGCCGCAAGTGAGTGCTGTCACCTCAGCTTTTCTTACCCATGACAACTGAGCTTCAAAAATTACATTTTAGTCACTTTTCCCTTTTCCAGGCACTGAGGGAATACACTAGTGATGACATGAATGTGGCCCCTGGCGACCGCGTTTGGGTGCGAGGCTGGTTCCCCATCCTGTTTGAGCTTTCCTGCATCATCAACCGCTGCAAACTAGACGTCAGGACCAGGTGGGTCCCCATCTTTAACCCTGCTATGGTCTTCACTTTGATACAAAGAAATGATGTGGATGTTTGGAACTAGTGTTGCTTTCGTCAACGAAAATTATGACTAAATATCGTCGTCAACGAACCTTTATTACGTGACGAAGACGAGACGAGACGAAAATGCTGGTCATGTGACAATGACTATAATTAAATGTATAATGCAATATCGTTGACGAATAAAAACGAGACTAAATGTGGTTTACAAAATAAAAACTATGCTAAAATGTCTCTTCATTTTCGTCGACCAAAATGAGACGAAATGTTTTTCGTCGACTAAAACTAGACTAAAATGCTCAGACTTTTAGTTGACTAAAACTTGACTAGACTAAAAAGAGTATGAACGTGACTAAAACTAATAAAAATTAAAATGACAGTTTCACACAAAGACTAGACTAAAACTATAATTAAAACAGGCCGCCAAAAACAACACTATTTGGAACTTATTCTGAGAGTGTTTGTGTGATGCAGGGGTCTGACTGTCATGTTCGAGATCATGAAGAGTTACGGACACACCTTTGAGAAGCACTGGTGGCATGACCTCTTTCGGATCATCTTCCGAATATTTGACAACATGAAGCTCCCAGAGCAGCAAACTGAAGTGAGTATCAATCACAACTTTAATACTACCAGCGTTGCAAAGTAACTTTAGCAACGCTGCTAACCTATCTTCTTTTTTGATAAAGTGATAGTAGCTCAACTGTATTAAAAATACTTCAGCTTTTCCAATAGCAGGCCACTTTTTTTCCATTAAGTAGCAGTATAGCAAGACAAAATGTTACATCTCCATTTTTGTCACATTATCTTGTACATGGAGCCTTCGAACTGAGTGAGCTGAAGTAATAATCAAACATGCTTCACTAACATGCCTATTAGAGCAGTAGCACTGGGAAGTGCTCATTTCAAGTCTGTTGGTTCAGTGTGTTCATTTTAATGAACAAAAACGGTTCACCGATTCAATTGAATCATTAATTTGGTTTTCAGTTTGGTTATATAAATGTAGAATTTAATATTTTTTTGTGCGTATTTATCTAATTTGAGTGTTAATATTACATTTGAATGCGTTCTTCCTAGTTGATATACTTGATAAATATTGATATTTTCAACTGATTCATTTAATCTGATCTAATTTTAAAAATATTGCCCCTTATATAACTTTTATAAGCTTTTCCATTAGTTGTATCCACCTTATTGTTAACAGCAGACGCGGTCATTTGTAAATTGAATGTGCTAGGCACTTTGTTATTCTTCTAGCTATAGTGGCTGATAAATCGAAAGTCTTGCATATTGATAGGAAATATCTTCCACATGGTAAAATAAGATTGAATGCATTACATGCATGTTTTTTCTTTTACAGAAAACAGAATGGATGACAACAACATGTAACCATGCCCTCTACGCTATCTGCGATGTGTTCACACAATTCTATGAGCCTCTCAGCGAGGTGCTGCTGGCGGATATTTTTGCACAGCTGCAGTGGTGTGTGAAACAAGGTGAGGATTTCTCTAAGCTGTTGCGCTAATCATGAGGGAGAGTTTAGGAGTTTTAAGACATTGCCCTGCTACTTGCTGTACTTCATTCCAGATGGACATTTCAAATGTGACGCCTACACATGTCACATTTGGAGAAACATATTGGCCCAGTGGGTGGCAGTGTTTTAAATCAGCAGGGTGTGGTAATACAGGGAAAGTGTTAGTGTGTTACACTCACAACTCCGCCTCTGTTCTCAGATAATGAGCAGCTGGCGCGGTCAGGCACAAACTGTCTGGAGAACCTGGTGATCCTGAACGGGGAGAAGTTCAGTTCAGAGGTGTGGGACGTCACCTGCGCCTGCATGCTGGATATCTTCCAGACCACCAGCCCTCATGCGTATGACACTCTTGCACACCACCATCTGTTTCAATGACACTTAACGACCTTCCGTCTGGATGTGTTTTGATTAGAGTTGTCAATCGATCTCAAAAAAATTAAATACACCAAAACAATCAAATAAATTACATGATATGCTAATTAATCTCAATATTTTGTATTTTCTAGCTAAATCTGAAAGGATTTTTCCACTTTTTTGGTCTGTCAAGACACACCAACATATTCCAACTCTTGACAGATGTTGACATGACCACTGATATTGAAATCGGAGAGCGTTTGAACAGGCTGTTCAGGCTCCTGTAGCTCTGCTTATGAAATGCTCTCTCAGTTTGGTTCTGACTTTGCTCTTAACAGCTTGCTGACATGGCGACCAGCTGGACAGGAAGAGGAGGTGGGAGAAGGGAAACACATGGTGAGATCACAGTAACATAAATAAATATTGTGAATACACACACAAATAATAAGCCACAATCAAGCACCTATAAGCCCTTATTCTGTCATACATTGTGTCCTACATTCTGCTAACACTAAGACACACCCACAAGGCTCTGGTTTTAATATGCATGTGTGTGTTTGTCTGTGTTTTTTAGGATGTTGAGGTTGATTCTCAGTCGCAGAGCAGCTTTGAGAGGACTCTTTCAGAGAGAGGACACAGTCAGATGTCCACCGCCAGTGATGAAACCTGGAAAGAAAAATCCCAAACCAGTACGTACAGCTGCAATGCAAAAGTAACAGTGAAGAATTTATAATGTCATAAAAGATTTCTACTTCAAATAAATGCTGTTATTTTGAACTTTATATACATTACATAATCCTCAATTCCACACCTTTGAAGTTTCAATAGGATTCAGTCTTGTACTGAGTTTCAAACGTAACCTTATGCCACACAGCTCGCCTATTTTGTCCAAAATATAAAGAAGTCTGATAAGCTGCCGAAGCCACATAATCGTTTAGAGTTTGCACCAACAGCCACATTCTCTTTGAACAATATGACCTCTTCCTCTTTTAAAGTCGGCATGAAACTGAAATCACAACCGACTTCTGTTCTTTACTGTGATATATATCCAAGTGAAACTGCTTATTGAACAAGAAGAAAGTTATATTCCAGGAATTGATTTTGGTCATTGAGAAATAAATGGAGGCTGATCTGAATGTGAAATAAAACAACACTGGACAACCTTGTTGCCAATCCCTCGTGCCATTTTACACATCACTTTTCTGTCCAGAGTTCTCTGTCCTCTGACTTTTAACATGTTACTCTCTTACTCCGATCTAGGGGTCTCGGACCACAGGCTGTTTGCAGGGCTTCTTATAAAGTGTGTCGTACAGCTGGAGTTGATTCAGACCATAGACAACATTGCATTCTACCCGGCTACCAGCAAGAGGGAGGATGCTGAGAACATGGCCGCTGCTCAGGTGTGTTCACATAACCTCTGTTTGAAAGTAAACTCCATAAACGAATCTTTTTTTACGTGTGAACAGTCCTTTATGGTGTTGATACCATGGCTTAGTTATAGCATGCTAAACTTAAGTGTCTTCTGTTCTGTCTCTGTGTGTTTCCCAATAGCGAGATGCACTTGAGCAAGCAGAAGAGGGAGAGACAGAGGCCGATCAGGGCATGTACAGACACCTGTCATCACAGCACCTCTTCAAACTGCTTGACTGCCTCCTTGAGTCCCACAGGTTTGCCAAGGACTTCAACTCCAACAATGAGCAGAGGACATCACTCTGGAGAGCAGGTCCGCGCTCTCTTATTTCCTAGTCTGGGTTGTGGTAATGCTGTCATTTATAGGATACTCTTTTTTTTTTTTTTTATTGTGTCTTTTATTATTCTTGCATGTAGGCTTTAAGGGGAAGTCAAAACCGAATCTTCTGAAGCAGGAGACTAGCAGCCTGGCATGCAGTCTGAGGATCCTCTTTCGCATGTACTCAGACACACAGCTGCAAGACTCCTGGCTAGACATCCAGACACGCCTGCTGCAGTGAGTGCTGCCTTCTGCCTCATTCATTAATCACACCCGCTCACCAAGCTCAACACAAAGACAGCTGCTTTTATACAATACAGTCTGTGCTACGTATTCAGATGCACCTATTATTTGAAGAAATTGTACGAGTTGATTCATTTTTATTTTGTATGATTATTTCAATTATAGTCACATCATGAACATGATTTCAGAGCATTAAATATAGGTGCTGCACTCAACCCTGAATGTGTAATAATCAGATCAATTGTATGACTCTTAAAAAAGCAGTAGGAACTGTTTTATGTAAAACATTGAGGGATGAGTCACATAATCAAGTTCTCTGATTTACATATGCTGTATGGGAAGGTATCGGGACAGTAATGATATGTGTGTGTGTGTTTGATTTAGAGTGTGTAGTGAAGCCCTGGCTTACTTCATCAGTCTTACCTCAGAGAGCCACCGGGAAGCCTGGACGAGCCTCCTGCTGCTGCTCCTCACCCGGACACTCAGACTGCCTGATGACAAAGTAATAACATACATAAACAAACACTGAACCAGAACATTAGATGCAGGGCCCAAAATTAACTTTTTGTCTCACCAGCCAATAAATATTTCATACCAGCTATGAAACTACCAGCTATTTTTTGGGGGGGTGTATTGTTTTATTAAAATAATAATAATATTTTTTTTTCTTTTTACATTTGGAATATTCAACATATTTGGCACCACGTGGAGTTTATGATATTACATTTTTCACTGAGCTCAAAGAGTCACAACAACACAGGTTGTATGTCTTTTTTTACAATTCAACTCGAGGTTCCTGATTAGATGGTTAAAGATAGTGGTGCACTTTTTGTGCTTCATGTTGAGTCAGACATTAAGTTGACATCCAGTTGGAATCAGCCACTAGATCTTGGTTTTATATTGTAAAATATTGCATGTTCCATGTAAGAGCAAAAATAGTGTCCTTATTAACCATACAGGTGAGTCTGATAATTAGCCAATGGGTGTTATTTCCTGTAGGAAAAGACTTGTTTTGGATATCTCTCTTATCCTTCAGAGGTCTGAGTTAAGGCTTTTATTACAGGAAGCACTCTGCTGAAATGCCAGCTTGTCAGTGTGATGACCTTTATATGTAAAAGAGACCTGCGCTATTACGCAGACAAACTACTAACAGCCCTGGGGATCTTCCCTGTCCATAACTAAAATACACTTTCCTATTCATCACTGTTCTGATAATATCAGGTTTTCCCAGCGGCGTTCCACTCCAGATTGACACTCTGCTAAAAGGTCTTTAAGGGAAACCCCTAACTGAAAAGATTTAAAGGATAGTTTACCCAAAAATGAAAATTACCCCTTGATTTACTCAAGCCATCCTAGGTGTATATGACTTTCTTCTTTCAGACAAATACACTCGGAGTGTCCTGGCTGTTCCAAGCTTTATCGTTTGTACTTCTAATTTATATGTCTAATTCGTCTAATTTATTGCCATTAATGGTGGTCCAAAAAAAGTGCTTTCATCCATCATAAAAAGTGTTCCACACAGCTCCGAGGGGTTAATAAAGACTTTCTGAAGTGAAGCAATGTATTTATGTAAGAAAAATATCCATATTCAAAACCGAAAGCTTACGCTACACCTACGTCATCCGCTGGAACGCCACTCTCTCGTAAACACGCGTACGACAGTTAGCAAAAGCTAGAGATTACGGATTGTAAAGTTGTAAATATGGATATTTTTCTTACACAAATGCATCACTTTACTTCAGAAGGCCTTTATTAACCCCCTGAGGCGTGTGGAGCAATTTTTATGATGGATGGATGCAATTTTTTTGGGCTTAATAATCTTGACCACCATTCACTGCCATTATAAAGCTTTAAAGGACAGGACATTTTTTTTATATAACTCCGATTGTATTCATCTGAAAGAAGAATGTCATATACACCTAGGATGGCTTGAGGGTGACTAAATCATGGGGTAATTTTCATTTTTGAGTGAACTACCCCTATAACACTTTAAATTAAATGTAATTAAATTTCAAATAAAATAATATAAAATAAAATGGCATCAGCCCATGAATGTCTAACATTGTCATCTCTCTTTCAGTTCAAGCCTCATGCCTCCTGCTACTACCACCATCTGTGTGAGATGATGCAGTTTGACCTCATTCCAGAGCTTCGTGCTGCTTTGCGGCGATTTTTCCTTCGCATCGGCTCCGTCTTCCACATCGCCGCTCCTGAATTGGGCAAAGCTCAGCGTTCATCATCATAATGTGGATCAGAACTGGGAACACAGATCAGAGATGAACTGGGAAGAAAGCGGGGCTGTAAAGTGGATGGATGGTCTGCGTGTATAAGCCTCTGCTGTGATTTGAAGGACTGTACAGGAACGCAGAATGATTGCGTGTGACTGTCCCATACTTTCCTCTGTCAGTCGCTCCCCTATGAGAGAACAGCACTGTGACCCAGCAGGGTGACTCTTCTGCTGTGTCATCTGTCTGTGTTGTTAAGAGTCAAGAGTCATATTTGTTTATTTTTATTTGGACTTTCTTCTGGATGGCTACAAAAATAATTTATTACCAGTACTGCTGTATGTCTGGTTTCTGATCGTCTGTTGATTTAATTGTTTTGGCTTTTGTCCTATCTGTACATTTTTGTCTGTTTTAAAGGCTAAAGAAAGATAGACCTACAGAAATGAGATCATCCCGTTATTAAGAGCATGTAAATGACACCCAATGTGCAATGAGCTTGTGCCATTGAATAATGGCATATTTGTTAACGATTTGTTAAGGTCCAAAAATGCCCATTATCAATGTCCTTTATTGATTCATCATACAATTAAACAATTATCTCTGATTTAAATTCACTCAAGCAACCTACAGAGGTGTTTGCATTTAAAATGCTTATAGTTTGGGGTAAAAGACTTTAATTTGGTTTCGGTGTGTTCACACTAAACCGCAAATTGCCCTAAGAATGTAACGGTTGCTTTCAAAGCATTTGGTGTTTATTTTACATGTCGATGCTTACGCTTGCTAATCCAGACCAGACAGACACTACCATTTCTTCTATGCCACACATCATGCTCATTTGGTTTCCATCATATTCAGATTTATTGCCTTTTTTTTTTTTTTAAGGGTTTATTCATTCATTCTTTTCTTTTTTTTTTGGTTCATATGTATCATTGAAATCTTAAGACACCTAATGAATATTTAATTTTAGTGCACTAAAGTTTGCTTAATAGATTTTTTTTTAAAACAATTCATTTTTCAAGTGTTGTTCACTCTTGATTTGGAGTCAGACTGAATCAGTTTACGGGATGGATGCCAGTCACTGATGATGACTGGCATCAGTGTTCATTACCATAAAACTAGTGAAGTGGGAGAAATACAGGAATACAAATGTACTGTATAATCCAGGTATATCTTCATTAAACCCCAGCAACATATGACTTATTAGTGTATTACCAGTGTAGATTCAACTCCCGATTCATTTTCATTAAGGATGCATTTCATTCTTGAAGTGCATTTAAATATTTTCTGAAAAGCATTCCTTCCCTTGCAACTATGGATGTCTACTTTGCTTCCCTTGAGACTGGGAAATATAAATATATATAGTATATGAAGAAATACAATGTGTAAAGTTTTCATGTAAAATATACAGAATAATGTTAAACTGTATACATATTGTGATGTAATCTTACAAGCATTTGGTGAAGTAATCAATAAAGTTTGAAATTCTGAACCATTGCATTTTCTCCTGTAGATGTTGTTTCTTTTATATTAAGGTTTTCAAAGAGGGGTCTAAAACTGAGTTTCCTTATATTTTTATGGCATTTCCCTTACCGAATTTCTGTCTGTCTAACGATCTAAACTGCATATATAATATAGTAATGTTTGTTCTTTTACACTAGGGGTCTCTTGTTTGAACGAGAGTCTGGGTGGAGGGTCCCTGTTGTTTAAAGATAGAAAACCTCTGCTTTATATCATGACAACACCAGCATATCAAACGAAGAATTATATTTGAATAAAGCGAAGAGTTGTACTCATTTAAATGCGCCACAGGGTGTCGCGGTAACAGACGCCTCACGCGCGTTTTGAGTAACAAAGGTTACCATAGTAATTCTGCCACTCTTTGTTTAGTGAGCTCGAGTCGTTTACGGCTATCTAAAATGTACATTCATAACGTCAGTTAAGTATGTATATCCAAATATTTGTAGTTATATGAAGAAAGTTATTGAGAGGAATTTATATCAGACCCCATAATGTGTAAATGTTGCGAGTTCGTTAAGATTTAGTCATCAGTATAAGTAGCAGTTACACTGATGGCGCGTCTCAACATTTGAAAACATAATCGAATGTTGCTTTTCAAATGATAATAAGCTTTAATTAACGACTCAGGAGTTACTAAAATAGTTACTCCGTAAACTAGCATACTCAGTCCACATCTTATGTGTCTGCTGTAATGTACGAATAGGCCCTTAGTTTAAAGAGCAGCTCTGAAGGGGCGGAACTGAGCGCTGCTGAATGTTCTGAGCTCTGAATGCGCGGCTGACAGCGGCTCTACACCGACTGCACTCTGGTCGAGGAGAAACACGCCGACATCGATCATGCGGGAGAATTTGCCTTTACAAATATCCGAGTAAGTACCAAAGGTCTGCGATTCGGTCTTAAATGTGAGCTTTATCTTTATACCCGCTTCCAAATGATTTTGTGTTTCCCTGTACAGCCAGCCCATCTTCCATGACGGTAGCTACACGGCTAACTAGCCGAAGGGGGAAAGATTGACGTAGTTGGCTTGAATTTTACAGGAAATGCATTCTTGGCCAGCAAGAACCATCAATTATATAGGGCTTGTTATTAATTTGCTCTCTTGCTAGTATATGGTTTTTCTCATGACTTATATGCGTGCAGAAATGCATTAAATGCATTGCATTCATTCGAAAATAAAACATAAGGGGTGTGTTTAATTTTACTAACGTGCGTAAATCATGTATGCTAGTTGTATGCTGACCGATAAAAGATTACAACATTATAAAATAATCTACATCCAGCGTGTCTCCTCAGTATAGACAGTGCGGCATTTGGAGAGCTCTCAGGCTCTGCTTGTGATCAGCGGCAATGTTTGGCTGATAATTACGAATTTGGTCCTTATATGTCCTTTTTCTCGGACTGCAGTGATTCTGTGAGATCACTTCTCTGAAAGTTTGATACGTCTTGCACTACAGATCTGACTGGTTGTTTCCGCTCGGCCTCTGCTATGGGCCTGAGAATGGAGCCTTTATTACGTAATGGTTGGGTAGGCAGCTACTGAGCGAGAGCGTCATTTAGGTGATCATATCCTATCACAGAGAGGGGAGGTCTGCTTTAAAGAGAAATATCCAGCACTGGCTCGTTCTTTCCTCATACAGTATTACTTTTGATCTGCCGCAGTTTCCATTTGATATTGTCGCTTAATCTATAACTAACATTCACATAAACTCACTGGAGTTGTTTGCTTGGTTGTCTTAATCTACGAGAGGAGTAAGCAGACTGTTTTGGTAAGCTGAATGCTCTTTTACTCTCCGTGTTGTCATTATCTTAAACGTTGTCAATAAGCACGTTAACGTGTGATAAAGTAGAAAAATGTTGACGTTAGACTTTGTTTTAAGTAATTGCTAACTAGTTGGTCTATAAAAGATTAGGCTCGGTCTACATGCATATCTGTATATTAGTCACTACTGTATGTAGACTTTACTTTAAGACAAAAAAAATGTTGTTTCTTGAGAATCCTAACAAAACCGTGAATAGCTTTGTGTTCGTCTGGGAGGTAACGTTATTCATACACGCGGGGACTCTATGTGGGAATGTGCGCAGTGCTGCGAGCTGACATTGTGTTTGTAAACACACCGCGTGTCTCCTTATTAGAACCTTAAAGAATTCACTTTTGGACGTGTCTGCTGATCAATCCAGCGACATCAGTAAGTGCGACCACATCATGTAATAGACATAACATTACATATACAGTACTTGTGGAATAAAGGATGTGGCTCGTATTTTAGAGAATATGCGTCATATTCGGACAGAGTCATTTGTCATGAGTCATTTAAGTAGCATAATATGCGAATTATTATTTTATTATTTATTAATTTTTTATATAATTTTTTTCCGCGACAAAAAAGAGCAGCTTCTGGAATGTGCTCTGAGCCTCGTTGTCAGCACGTGTTTGGCTGATCCAGTGTTTCCTGAGAACTCTCGTGCTTTTCCCAGGAGCGGTCAGATAATGCACCGCGTCAACACCCGCGCTCGCGATGTGGTCAAAAAAACGAAATCAGCAAAAATGTGTCACTTAATCCATTTATTAAATAATGAAGTTATTTAAAAATCTCTTTACTCGTGAGATCTATCTATAGTATCCAACCGTTCATCCATTTATAGTCTCAAAATGATTCTCTTGTCTTGATCAGACGTTGTAATTCCTAAATTGGAATTATTTGTATTATTTGGAATTATTTTGTAATTGTATAGATTTGATCTGTAATAATACATTTATGCAATTATAAATTAATGTATTAATTTCAGTCTATTTTGTTTGTTTAGCAGAGATTATACAAATACATTAAATTTTTTTTAAAGATTATACATGAGTTGTCAAAACATTTTAAAAGGCGTTCCTAATGAAAACCGCCATGAAGCACTTGGGTATCTTTTGTCTGTGACTCTTGACTGGTTCTTCTGGCACCACAATTAAGGTCCGTTATAGATTTGTTGAAATGAGGGAATCATAATTCTGGCCACGCTGGCTGTTCTTGCCCCCTGCTGTTTAAAATTCACTCATGTCAAGGTCAGTGTACATTTAGCCATGTCTTGGACAAGGGAAGAGGGGATATTGTCCATGTTTTTCATTCGGAGGCAGGTGATGAGAGGCTACCATCTGTTCCTCTGATCAAGCCTCTACATTAAGTAAGAGGGCTTTAGAGGGTGAAAAAAAAAAACTGTTTATCTTCAGTGCCCCTTAACCTCTTCCAAAGTTTCACCCTGACCTCCTCCTCTCCGTTTGTAAAAATGATTGCGTATTTGCGGATCAATTCATTGCACTGTTGTCTTACCACAGGGTATGAGCCATTGCACCATCCCTGAGCGTCGGCAGAAGCCTGAGAAGGACGCAAGGGTGTGCACTGTGTTCTAAGAACGAGCGAGTGGATATTCAGACATCGGAGGACGACGAGCAACAACGTGAATTATGTCTTACTATCACCAAGAACTGGTGGTATTTTTTATTAAATATAAACTCTCGCAGAGGAACTACCCCTACAACCACATTGAATTTACAGAAGACACAAATCGGACTGATGCGGCGGAAGGGAATGATGATGAGGCGGCAGCAGGAACAACGACCCTCGTTAATGGCTCCCTAAACGGAACAAGTACTGGTTCCACTGGGACCCCACCAAGGTCCCCCGCTTCAACCCCCCAGCGTCAGACGAACGGGACTGGGGGTCTGGACGCTGTAAAGGAGGCGCTTCGCGATTCTGCCAACGAGTTTGAGCTGCGTTATTCCCAAGCATTCAACGACCTGTCCTCGCAGCTCCACATCACGCCTGCCACGGCGTACCAGAGCTTCGAGAGCGTGATGGATGAGGTGTTCCGCGACGGCGTCAACTGGGGCCGCATCGTGGGACTGTTTGCCTTTGGAGGGGCTCTGTGTGTTGAGTGCGTGGAGAAGGAGATGAGCCCACTAGTGGGAAGCATCGCGGAATGGATGACCGTCTACCTAGACAACAAAATTCAGCCCTGGATCCAGAGCCAAGGAGGATGGGTGAGTGGAAAGTTACTTGTATTTTTCTCCTACCCTGTTAGCTTTCTTCAGTTTGATCGCAAGCAGCCTCTATATATGTAATCTGTTTAGGTTTATGGTCTCAAATTATTTCCATCTCAAATTTTCCTGTTTGATCTGCAGATATCTGTTCATTGGATTTAAATCACCCTTGGTCAACCTTGATGTAAAAGAGTCTCTTTAAAGGACTCAACAAAGGAATAGTTTCCCAAAAATGAAAATTCTGTCATCATTTACTCACCGTCATGTCATTCCAAAACCTGTAAGACTGGTTAATCTTCGAAAAAACGAATTAAGATATATTTAATGAAGTCTGAGAGGTTTCTGTTCCTCCAGTGAAAGTACAGGTAACCAAAACCTACAACATCCATTAAGGTAATAAATCTGTTGTAAATTGAATCCACATGAATCAAGAAGATCAAGGATTTTCTAAGGTTTAGTTGCCTGTACTTTCAATGGAGGGACTGAAAATTCTCAGGTTTAAAAAATAAAAAGGTAAAAAAAAATTTTTTTTTAAATATCTTAATTTTAGTTTTGAAGATTAAATCCTATCGGTTTGGAACAACATGAGGGTTAGAAAATTACAGAAATTTTAATTTTTTGGTGATCTATCCCGTTAAGATTTATTTATTTATTTTTTTAAATTCCGTTGCCATTTGACATTGAAATATTTTGCTAAGCTTTTAAAAGACTGTATTAGTCCAGGAAAAGTGGATGTTATTGATGAAAGTGTGTGTTTTGCATGGCCAAATCTGCTGGCTCCCTTGGGTCCGGACGGGGGCTGGTTTTAGCGCCTACCCTCTCTTGGGCCTGGGTGGGGATGCTGTAACTCTGTGGAGGGGAAAGGAATGGGAGTTAAGATAGCAGAGCCACAGCCACTGGTCAGCTGATTATTGATTTCCATAGTCTTAATTCCCAATCGAAACTCTACAGA